GGGAGGACAGGACCACATAGCTACAGCATCCTCCTCTTTTGTCCAAATGATGACAACGGGAGGACAGGACCACATAGCCACTTCTGGCCCAGTGCAGCAATCTTTCCTCTTAAATTCTCTAACAAGGGCAGAGTAACATTCCCAGTCAACCATCCCCGAGATGCGAGGCTGGGCGGAACTGCTGACTTTGAGATCCTGTCTGTGAAAACCACCTGGAACTGTCTTAGAACACCTAGGACAAAGTCAAGGAAAAACACAGATTTTAGAGCCTCAATAGTCACTTCACCCCCAGTCTTTGATCCTGTGGTCCGCTGTCTTGTGGATAAGAACCGGGAGTGAATGTCGGGAGCTTGTCTCCTATATCGTGTGTGTGAGTCTTTCAGCTTAGGGGAGACTGTTGAGATCAGCAAGCGAGCAGTTCACTACCGCCAAGGTTCCTTGACCCTGGAGAAAAATTCTCTTAGTTGCCATCCATCCAACTGGTGCCTTAGGACAATGATTTTTTTTAAGCTAAAGGAATTTCAATAGGAATTGTCTAATTGTCTTAGTTGCTGGGATAAAGACCCTGATCAAAAGCTACTTGGGGTGGAAGGTACATCATGAGGAGATAGAAGGGCAGGAACTTGGAAGCAGGGACTGTTACTACGGCCATGGAGGAAGACTGTTTACTGATTTGGGCTTCTTGGCTTCACTAGCCTTCATTTGTATGTGCCCCAAGGCCATCTGTCCACAGGTGGCATTGCCCCACCAGGCTCTGCCCTGCTTTATCAATCAGTAATCAAGAAAATCTCCCACAAGCCAAATCTGATTTTCTCAGTTGAGGGTTCCTTTTCTTAGATTTCCTTAGTTTTTGTCAAATTTATAAGAAAAAATTTAGCAAGTGTAGTAATATAGTAATATATAATGTACATATATATACATCATGCATTCTTCATAACAGTAGTATACTGTGTGCAAAATAGCTAGTACCTCAGCCTGTGTTTATTTCACACCATACAGATGTTTATGGAAGAAGAAAAAAAAGCTGAATTTATTTTATATCTTAATGTGATTCTGGATTTCCAAATGCCTTTCTTGCTTCTGTGAGATTGGATGTATAGCCCTCTCCCCAAAGGTTTGTGGAAATCTCTTTAGAGAATCAGCTGTCCCCTCTGTGAAGTTTGACCTCACCTAGTGCCAGTGGTCACCTTCTACAGCTTACAGCTCCTTCACTGGGTAGAGTCACTGAGGGCCGCGGAAAGAATGCAAGCACGGTGGAGCGTACCATGCCGTGGCACCCTCTGAAGCTACAGTATGCTCTGTCACCCACCCAGGCAGTAGATTCTGCCTCTGGTCACGAAGGAAGCACTCAAGAGCAGTTACTACGTAATGAAACAAAGAGGATGCAAGGGATTTAATTCTCGTCCCAGTGAGCTGTGTAATCACGCAGCTTTCTCCCAAGCTTAACCAGCAGTTCGTGAACAAAGAGCGTAAAGTGACGGCCTCGACACTGTTCTTCTACACGCTGTGGCTGGCTTCACATCAGGGTGGCAGCTCTATTTAGTTCCTGACTGTGGTTTCCATGATCTTTTATACCTAGCATTTACAGCATGGTGGCGTCCTTAGGAGTCTGGTTGTGTAGAATCCCATGAACTGCGTCTGTCTTTTGCACAGAGGACACTGAGTGCATTCGCGGCTTTCCACCGCTCCACCTTTGTCCTCATTCTCCCTTACAGCTTCAACGCAGACCTACTATAGCAACTCTGGCTTACATGTACAGGAAGGCTGGTCAGCTAGCAGTCGGCAGAGTAGACTCATGGGATAGGGTGAGTGGCTTATGATAGCCACCATTCAATCCCCTCATACCTTCCCTTCCGGAAGAACTCGATTACAGGACAGCATCAATCTTTCCGAAAGATCTGCATGGTCTTTCTTTACCCTTCAGTCATAGATGGAGACAATATCGTCCTAGTTACAGTCCTTACTCAAGGGAGCACATGTCAGGCTTACCCTCTGCAACTGGGAAACTTTCCAGTTGTCCAGATTGATTTGTTTCACTTCCTGATGCATCAGAGAATCTCTAGACATCGCCAGCACTTGATTCAGTAACTTCCTTCCCACGAGCTCTGGGGCGCTTCTCAATGGAGGAGGGAACAACCAAATGGCATGACTGCCATCCTCCCCTATATTTTAAGACGCTGATATAGCCAGAGCTTTGGGCTAAATACTGCGAGCATCATGTAAAAACAAAAACAACACAGAAAACCAGCTAATAGGGAGCTGGGGTTATAGTTCAGTTAATAAAGTACTTTCCTTGCAAGTATGGGGACTTGAGTTTGGTCTATAGAACAGTGGTTCTCAACCTTCCTTAATACTGTAACTTTCCAAACATAAGGTTATTTTGTTGCTACTTCATAACTGTAATTATGTTGCTACTGTTAGGAATGATAAGTAAATATGTGATATGCAACCCCCAAATGGGTCACAACCCACAAGTTGAGAACCGTTGATCTAGAGCCATAGGAGGAAACATTTGGGTGCAGTGACACTTGTAATATCACCACTGGGGAAGCAAAGATAGAGACCTCTGGTTTTGCTGGCCAGCCAGGTTAGCCTGCTTAGTGAAGTTCTAGATCTTGCTTCAACAAAGCGAGGTAGACAGCACCCGAGAAAAGCCATCCATGTTTGTTTTCTGACCTCAGATGGTTATATCACACACTCACACACACACACACACACACACAATCCCACACAACATTAACAAATCACATGTATACAGCTAATGAAGCAAGAGTACTTGGCACCCCCAGGCTCTGCTATGTTTCCTATAAACTCACGTAACCTCCAGTTACTCTCTGAGGTAGATGCTGTAAGTAGAAGTGTCCCCATTTTCCAGACGCAAAAGCCAAAGTAGAGAGACATGAACAAGGCAGCCACCACCATCTGCTAGGAGGATGGTTTCTCTCCAGGCAGTGTGATTCAGAGGCTGTGCTTTCAACGCCTACTGCACACCGCTCCAACATACGCATCCAATTACCAGTACCTTATAGTCTGATGCCCACAGCAGGAAGCAGTGGCAACCCCAGGCTTTAATCACAGTGCTAAGCATAAGGAGCAGACTGTAAACATGGCAGAAGCTCAGAAGAAAGAAAGATGGCTCTCTACCAGCATGCACCGAAAGAGCCCGTGAGAACTGGCGGCTCATCTGTGCAGGCCTGGAGAGAGGGCCGGAGATTTCGTGCGCCAACAAGTAGACTCGGGATAGTCCAGGCGATGTGAGCAGAAGTGCCGATGTGAAGTGCGTGAGTGGGTCTCGAGTCTTAAGAAGGACACAGTGAGCCTAGTGGGTTGACGTCTTGGCTCATGTAGGGGTAAGATATGCAAGCAGGCTGGAGCTAGGATGGAAGAGGAGAAGCAGGGCCCCGCAAAGATGCAGGAAGATCCTGTCCCCCAGCTGAGCCTTACCATAGACCATCAGACAGAACCAGAGGTCCTCTGTGAACCACCCTAAAGCCAACTACTAAAATGACCAAGCCAGATTGAGACCTTGCTAGCCTGACTTCAGCTCTTGTACTCAGTTCAGCCAGCTTCAAATCATTTCTCTCCCACTGTGCACGAATCACAAAAGCAGCTTCAAGCAACAGTGAACGAACTGGACACCTAACAGTCTGCCTGCTTTGTTGCTTTTGCTATTGTTTTTCACACAGCCTTTGTTCACTGTCTCTTTAAGAGGTCCCTCCTTCATCAGGTTGCTGTGGTGCAGAGCGCTCCTGCTGTGGCTAGGTGGATCCACCAGGTGGCAGGCTTCACAAATAGCACCCGATTTGTCTTTTACCATGTCTCCTGATGTTTCTAATACTTGCACGCTGCATCTTGTGGATTTCTTATTAGAGGGGCTGTCTTTGGTGCATGCACATCAGCCAAATGAACTGCTTTTTGAAAAGTCGTATGTGGAAAAAGAAGACGTAGGTCTGATTTTTGTGGAAGGAGGCATTTACTCAGAGCCTTGCAGTGTGCTGAGTCAGCAAACCCTGCTCGTCTGTTTTCTAATGAGAAACATTCACGATTTGTACCATATTTATCTTCTACTATTTTATCATGCCTATGCCTCCATTTCTCAGTGATCCATACTTTGCGCATGCCCCACATGTCATGTGTCTGTTCTGCTGACCACCACTGTGATGAACGCAGGCCATGTTCTATGCCAGGCACTGGAGAGGTAGAGGGGGACCAAGCACCTGCTGCCCACATGGAACAGGGTGGGAAGGAGAGCACTGGGGAATGAGGGACAGAGTGGCCAGGCCTTGACTGTCCCGCTTACCACTCTGACTCTGAGAATAAGAATAACTCTTGTCGTTATCTGTGCAAGGATGACAGTCCTCACCTCATGTGACCCTTAGATCTTGGAAGATTCTATGTGGAAGTGGCTTAAAAACTAAAATTGTGTTTTTAAAGCACCAGGTGGCGTTGTTCACCTCTTACAAAGATACAAAAGTCCCAGCCCCCTGGAGGGTGGGGAGGAAAGACTACCGCAAGTTTGAGGCCAACTTGGGCTACATTGTGAATTCTGGGCTAACCTGCAATACAGTGTAAGACTCTGCTGAAATGCACTTGAATACAGGCCCAGACTTGAAAACAGTATTACTATGGGGTAAGACGTCCTGGTGATCCTAACATCAGGGAAAGATGCACCCAAGCTGCTTTGCTGCCCCTTTCATCCACCGTGGAAAGAAAGCGATGTCATCATAAGTCCAATCAGTTTATGAAGACCTTCTTCCAAAAGTCTCCAGTGGTGAATTTTCCACTGAAAGAAACAAAATATCAATCTCGACCATTAAAGTAAATGTAAACTTTTAAAAGTCTTGCCTTTGCATGTAAGACATAACTTATCTCGCTGTCAGAATTCAGACCTCATCTGCCTAAAATGTCTTCTACAAATCTATTAGGTATGAGATTATACTTCTAAAGTGATATGTAAACGAACTATGAAGGCAATAATAAACCATTGTCTTTTCAGTGCTAAACTAGAGATAAAACTTGAACTAAGTGGTCTGTAAAGCAGGGGTTCTCAACCTGTGGGTTGCAATTCCCGGGGTCAGCTGGCTCTTTCACAGGGTCACATATCAGATACTTCCATTATGATTCATGACAGTAGCAAGATTACAGTTATGAAGTATCAGTAAAAAAAAAAAATGGTTGGAAGTCACCACAACGTGAGGAACTATATTAAAGGGTTGCAGCGTTAGGAAGGTTGAGAACCATGTCCTAAGGGAATATAAATAACTAATGGACCATCAACTCATCAAACTAAAAACCAGGAAGGAGTAACAGTGGGGGATATTAGTAGGCAACCAATACAGACATGCCCTTCAAGAACATTTAATGATTGGTTTTCAGACTTGTGAGTGGAAAATAGAAAGCTCCAAATCTTACATTAAAATAGTTGGTAAGATATGCGTATATCTATACATGCCCAAAGAAAGACTAGTATGGGCCTGGAATGATATAGCTTTGTAGTTTAATGGCAGAGTGTTTATTCGGCATGTACCGAAGCCCTAGGCCCGATTCTCACCCTTCCTCGTCAAAAGCAATTAAAACCCAGCAGGAAATAGATTGAAATATTACCAGTGGTAGCTGAGTGGAAATTCCAATAATTTTCCCCCTTTTAATTTTGCTCTTCCATTTTCTTCTTATGATAGCATAGGATATTTCCCAATCAAGGAGAAAGACGGTAAATTATTGGTGAAGCAGAGATTTGCTTTCCTAGTCTCCTGTTCCCATAGCACTTGACTTCCCATGCTTTGGTATCCCATGAACTTAGCATCTGGGTGTCTTCCTAGCAAGGGCCTTTTTCAAAGCCCTTGTTCTTGGATGGCTTGTCCTTTGCAGTTTATCATCGCCACCTCTGACTTTGAAATAATGCATTTATCCCCTGGCTGTTACAACATTCAAGGAGCAATTGTAGCAGCCAGAGTGTCTGCCCACCCAACCTGGCATCCCTGTGCCTGGCCGCTGACTCGATGTTCACCTTCATCACTAGAGCCTGCCTAGCAAGCCCCATCCCAAGATGGAGTGAAAGGACCCAGAAACCCACCAGGAATTATGTCACTGTGCCTGACCTGGTTAAAGAGAGCTTTCCCCATAGCTGTGACATACTTCCCGGCAGCTCTGCAAGCTGACAGGTTTTATGACAAAAAGAACGGAACCTTCTAACATCATTACAAATAAAAGTCTCATTCAGTTTTGTCGCCCTATGATTTCTAGGTCAAAGAAAAACATGAAACGGAGAAAGAAAGAAAATATATCAAGCAAGACCAGACAGCTACTGGGCACATTTATATTTAATACATATGGATGAAGATAGCTGTTATTTATAGAGCCTTTCCATGTGTCACACTCGGTGTTAAAAGCTTTGCAAACTCTCATTTACTCCCCTGCTGAGCTCTAGATGATGGCCGGTTCTTCTGGTAGCTAGTAGAGTGTATGAGAAGCCTTTGTAGGGCAAGCATCCTGCTAATATTTGGAGCTTGGCTTTGACTCAGATATGTGGAATGTATGGACTCCCACCCACAGCACACTCACTAAAGGGATGTGTTTCTTTACCTTCCACCCATCTGGATTGTCAGGACTTGGTTGATTGTGGCATTGTTTAGCCCCCTTCCACAACACGTCTCTTTTGTTGCTTGTCTTTGAATCTCTCAGTTCTGATCTTGCTTCTTCACAGAGCTTCTTTTTAACATGACCTCATCTCCTTTATAGAGTGGGAATAAGGTGTCAATCACCACTACCCCGTTTGAAAACACATCAATCAAAACAGGACCAGCCAGAAGGAACAGTTACAAGAGCCGGATGGTGAGAAGGAGCAAGAAGTCTAAGAAGAAGGAAAGTCTAGAAAGGTAGGTTGAGTCAGCATTCCTGAAAGATTGATAGCCACCTGTGTTGGATAAAATGTATTCCTTAGCAAGTATAGATGAGAAAGGTGCATTTCTCTATGAGAAATGTTATACCACAGTTCACAGTAGATATTAAAGTTCAATGCATTACGTGTATAGCAGAAAGAGTTCCTGGCTCTCACTGTAAAAAGATTGCTATTGTTCTTTAGCATGTACGGATACCATGAATGGTCCTTTCCTGGTTATATTAGTTAGTGTTCTCTAGACTCCAGGATTACACAACTTACATAATGAACCTCTCTGTGTGCACAGAAGGGGGTTTATTAGAATGTCTTATAGGCTGCAGTCCAGCTAATCCAATAATGGCTGGCTGTGAAGTCCAAGACTCCGGTGGTTGTTCAGTCTACAAGGCTGGATGTATCACCTGGTCTTTAGTATATGCTGGAATCCCAAAGGACTGGGCTCTAATACCAGAGAAGGAATGGGCTTGCTGGCAAGGCGAGGGCAAGCAGGCAAAGAGCAAACGCTTCTTCTTCCATGTTCTATAGGCTTCCAACAGAATGTGTGGCCCAGATTAAAGGCCTATTTTCCTAATTCAAAGATCCAGATTAGAAGTGGATTCAAATTAAGCAAAAAAAAAAAAAAGCCCTCACAGCTGTACCCTCCATATTGGGGTTTAAGTTCTAGATGTAGTTAAGTTGACAACTGGTTTTAAAAATATATATTTATTCTCTTCTGTTCATATACATAAGTACACACGTAGCACAGTGCATCAGAGGGCACGTTTTGGGAGCCAGTTCTCTCCTTCCACCACAGACTCAAGAGCTGGGCCGCAGGAGGTCATGTAGTCACGCCTGTGTGCTAGCACCTTTACCTGCTGGATTTTCGTTCTCCTTTGTTTGGTCACTGATTATTTAAGTCTTTAGACATCATTTCATGATAGCTAGTTTTTGACCAGCAGACAATTTTCCACATGAAATCTGCAGTTAAAATGTCCTATGAGTGATTAAGAAGATCTTTTAATGTCATCAATCACAAAATAACTGCATCTTTAAACCTTTCAAATAAGTCTGGAAATATCAGCCCTTTGTCTGACTGAGATCTGATGAGGTGACGCCCAGTGGCAGACAGGGAAGCATGGGACGTTCTCCACACCTACTAAAGTGTGTGCGAGTCTGTGTGCTCAGAAGGGGCGATTCTTTCCAGTCAGGTATGATTCCTTTGAGCTGCCGGAGTCATGTTCCTGTGTTCACTTGAACCTGGGAGTCTCATGCTAAGACTTTTGGATAGAATTGTAAGAGAAGTGATAAAATAACAGCGTTTTATTAGCTTCAGTAAAAACAGTTACGTATGCAAGAAAACAGTATGGAGTCTGGCTGGGGCAGAGAACAAACGGTGCAGGAGTCATTTACGTCATCAGCTTGGGGGCTGGTGGGGGGTGGGGTGTTTCAGCTTTAGATATCTTAGGACCAGTAGGAGAGAAACAACATATGGTGTCAGAAAGTGACTTTCTAAGTTTAACTCGAGTTCTATGGTGATGTTTTGGGGGTCTTTTCTTTAAGCACCGGGGATTGGGCCTAGGCTTCATTCACATAAGCAAGTGTTCTGCCACTGAGCAACATCCTGGACCTTCTTTTTGCTCTTTCTCATTGTTTTGATTTGAGACAAAGTCTCAGTGTCCCAGGCTGGCCTTAAGTTCACTCGGTAGCTTTGTTGATACTCATTGTGCAGCCTAAACAGGTCTTGAACTTGAGATCCTCCTGCCTCAGCCTTTCAATGCACTGGGATTGCAGGCCTATACTTTCTAACTCAGCTTCTCAGTTTTCATGGTTGCATATCAACAGATAAGCCCCAAGCCTAGCCTAGAAAAACTAAAATAACCATGTAAACACATGAGTTATAGTTATATACACTATGGAGAGTTATATATGCTATAGTCATATACACTACAGAAAGTTATTTACACTACAGAGAATTAAATATGCTACAGAGTTATATACTCCATGAAGTGAAATATACACTACAGAGAGTTAGATACGCTCTGGAGAGATATATATGCTACAGTTATACACTATAACTATACACTATAGAGAGTTTTATACGCTATGGAGAGATACATATGCTAAAGAGGTAGGAGCAGAATGTGGTCGTTCTGGAGGCAGAAGAAAGTGGGGTGCTTCTTCACAAGTTTCTAGAGCCCCCTGACTTCTTTTTATGTGTGCGGGTGTTTTGCTTGCATGTGTGTCTATGCACCATGTGCTGGCCTGGTGCCCAGAGGCCAGAAGGTGTCAGGTTCCCTGGAACTGAAGTTAGAGATGGCCATGACCCATTGTGTGGGTGCTGAGACTCAAACTTGGGTCCTCTGGAAGAGCAGCCAGTGCTCTTAACTACTGAGCCATCTCCCTAGGCCCTCATTATATCATTTTATCCCAAATACATTTATTTTCCTCTTAGACAAGTTCTAGGATCACTTTGGGTTTTTTTTGGGGGGCTGGTTACTTTGTATTTTCATTTCCTTCAGGTTATATAGGACAAATGTTTTAATGGTTAGCATTATGACAACCACCAGGGCTGTCCTGGGCCTCTTTGGTAAAAGAGCTGTTGGACAGTTACGGCACTGATCAGCTGTGCATTCGTACACTTTTCTATAATGAACCCTGTTCACACTGAATGCTCCTTTGCATCTGTTGCCCACTGATACGCCAGCCTCAGCCTCACCTCGCTCTCTGCTTTCCATGTAAAGACACAGCGGACATTGTGTCGGGCATATTTACAAGCCCACAGTGGAACAAGCACAGCACACAGTCCTTCACAAACAAAAACCTCTGCCCAAAACCTCCGGCCTTAATGTAAGCCTCTAACCAAGACAACAGTCATTGGAAAAAGACTCATCTTGGTTAAGTCATGCCAATACAGACAAGGCCTGAATGTCCTCACAGGTGAAGGGTTTTCTTGCCCTATTGTTTCTTGCTGTTTGGCATGAAGAGGTCCTTCATGGATACTGTCAGTTTCCTAAGCTGTGAGGAAGCTGTCAGTAAAGGCCGGTGGTCATGTCACTGTGTGGCAGTGCTGAAACCAAAGATGCAACCATCGTGAGGATTGCTGTTGAAAGCAGGTTCTGACGACATGCTCCTGTCTCTACTCAGGAGGAGATCGCTCTTCAAGAAGCTAGCCAAGCAGCCTTCTCCTTTGCTCCACACCAGCCGAAGTTTCTCCTGCTTGAACCGATCCCTGTCATCTGGAGAGAGCCTCCCGGGATCCCCTACCCACAGCTTATCGCCACGGTCTCCGACACCCAGCTACCGCTCTACGCCTGATTTCCCATCAGGTGAGTAGATCCAGCCTAGCCTAGGGACATTCATGGCCCTAGAGGGTGGAAAGGTCTTGGGAGGCATAAACCAGGCAGGGATGAGGAAAACAGGCCGAATTGGCACGTGACTGACAGCATTTAGAGCGCACACGATGGGGGACCATTCTGACTATTGGAATAGAGCGGGTAGGAGAACTGTGGGGAGGCTTAGGCGAGAAGCCTTCCCTGACCACCTGAACAGAAGTGTAGGAAAGACACCTGGTTGCTCACAGTCCTATGTTTTCTACCCCCAGGTACCAACTCCTCCCAGAGCAGCTCACCAAGTTCAAGTGCCCCCAATTCTCCAGCAGGCTCAGGGCACATCCGGCCCAGTACCCTCCACGGCCTGGCCCCCAAACTCAGTGGGCAGCGATACCGCTCTGGAAGGCGAAAGTCAGCTGGCAGCATCCCGCTCTCCCCCCTGGCCAGGACACCCTCTCCAACTCCCCAGCCTACCTCCCCTCAGCGGTCGCCATCACCACTGCTGGGACACTCACTGGGCAATGCCAAGATCACTCAGGCCTTTCCCAGCAAGATGCACTCTCCCCCCACCATCGTCAGACACATCGTGAGGCCCAAGAGTGCAGAGCCGCCCCGCTCCCCACTGCTGAAGCGGGTACAGTCTGAGGAGAAGTTGTCACCCTCCTATGGCAGTGACAAGAAGCACCTGTGCTCTCGCAAGCACAGCCTGGAGGTGACACAGGAGGAGGTGCAGAGGGAGCAGTGCCAGCGGGAGGTGACGCTGCAGAGCCTGGAGGAGAATGTATGTGACGCGCCTTCCCTCAGTCGGGCCAGGCCAGTGGAACAAGGCTGTCTGAAGCGGCCTGTGTCCCGGAAGCTGGGCAGGCAAGAGTCTGTGGATGACCTGGACCGAGACAAGCTAAAGGCCAAGGTCATAATGAAGAAACCAGAGGAGAAACATGAATCCCACCAGAAACCTCACAGCCTTGGTGGTGACTCAGAAAGCTATGCTCTCTTCAGGATGGAGGAGAGAGAGAAGAAAGTGTATCCCAAGGGGCTGGAAAGATCAGGTCACTTTGAGAACACAGCAGCAGAGTCTCCTTGTGTGGGCAGCCTGCTGAAGGACACCCTTCACAAGCAGGCCAGCGTGCGGGCCATCGAAGGGGTGACCTCGGATGGGGCAGCAGGCAGTCTGGCACCTGGGGAGCATGGCCAGTCTCTAAGTGACTTTAAGCGGGCCTCAGCTTCTAGCATCCTCCAGGAGAATATGTGTCACATCCCTGACAGATCCACTTCTGGAAAAGGTGACTACATAGAGAAGGCCGCCCAGGCCAAAGAGCTCCTTCGAAGCGAGAAGCTGGACAGCAAGCTGGCCAATATGGATTACCTCCGAAAGAAAATGTCACTGGACGACAAAGATGATAGTCACTGTGCCATCCTGAAACCCAAAATGACATCGAGCACCCATGAATGTTTGCCAGGGAGAAACATGGCTGGGCAACAGGAGACCATGCCAGCCTCCGAGAGCCGGGCATTCATCAACAGTACCCACACATCTCAGATGAGCGCCGTTTCCTTTGTTCCTCTCAAGGCCTTAGCTGGCCGGGTAGAAAATGGAGGTGAGAAACCAGGTTTCGTGGCTCCCGAGTCCCCCGTGAGGAAGAGCCCCTCTGAGTATAAGCTGGAGGGCCGGTCGGTTTCATGCCTGAAGCCAATTGAGGGCACGCTGGACATTGCTCTCCTCTCTGGACCTCATGCTTCCAAAACAGAGCTGCCTTCCCCAGAGCCTGCACAGAGCCCCAGCCCATCCCATCCCAGTGTCAGTGTGGGATCCTCGGGGTCAGCAGCTCTTCCCAGTAGCAGTGGGAAAAAGAGTAACGCCACCAGCCTGAGGGAGCCTTCCTCTGCCAGCTTAAAGGTGAATAAATCGTACCTGCTGGAGGCTCGGTTCCTGCCCCCGAGCCGGGGACTCCAGGACTCGCTAGCAGCCCCTGGGATAGAATCAAAGTCAAAGCAGGACAGGAAGGTTACTCATCCTGCGGCCAGGAGCACAGCAGCTGTCCCCGAGAGCCAGCTCCAGCAGAAAGACGGTGGTCCCACCAAACACCAAGACCGTGCCAGTGTTCCTGACCCGGGGCAGACTCTGCATAATGCTGACCCAGCCAGGCTGGGTATACGTGCCCCGCTGCCACCAGAAGTAACCCCCTCCAAGGAGAAACCGTGTCCGAAGGAACCAGCTGAAAAGGTGAAAAGTCAGTGCTCTGCCATAAGGGATGACGTATACAGAGAGCCCTGTGTGAAGCTGTGTCCTGCAGAGGTGAGTAAAGCCAGTGACAGTTCCAAAAACCTCCCTCCTGGGGGACGGACTCATCCCGATTTCTGCATGCAGGCCCAGACTACAGAGAAAACACGGACATGTGCAAAAACAAACTCCAGAGATGGCCATGATGAGGTGAAATCCCTGGCCAGGGAGGACTCCTTGTACTCAGCCGGGCTTCTGTGTGAGAAGGAGGTAGGCAGGGCAAGAAAAGGCCCAGAAGCCAAGCCTGAAGTCCCTGCTACCAGGCACTCTCCTCAGCCACCAGGAACTGAGAGCGAGAAGAGCGAAAAGCCGTCCACCACCCCGTCTTTGCAGAAACAGGCTCCCAAAGAGCCCGACAGGAAGGAACAGGCCCTGCAGAGGCATGGCCCTCAACAACCCCTGACCACCAAAGAGCTGTCCAACCCAGCAGCTTGGCAGCATTGCAGTTCACCAAACCACACACTTGCCAAGGAGCTGGGGACCAAATCCACTGCCGCAGAACCAAGCACCAGCCTCCAAGACACTCCCCGATCTGCTACTGCCACCGTTACCACTACCACTGCCACCCCCAGTGCCGGGCACAGTGACTGTAGTAGCCATAAGTCCCGGCCTGGCCCTGACCCCAGCCCTTCAAAGTCTAAGCACCCAGACAGGTCCCTCTCCTCGCAGAAACTGAGTGCTGTGTCTGCAAAAGGCAAAGAGCCTGTCACTCAAACCCTTGGTGGCTCCAGCAGAGAGGGGAAGGGTGGAAGCAAGGGTCCCCTGGACATGTTCCCTGCCATCCTGGCCACCCAGGGCAAAGCGATCGATGTGTTTGGGCAGGGAGAAGGTAGGGTCACTATCACACTCCACATGGAAGAGAGTCCTCTAGATGCTAAACTGAAAACCGCCAATGGAGGCTGTCCTCAGGAGATGCAGGAGAAGCATCCTCCCAGACAAGGACATCCAACATTCAGTGAAGCAGTGGACCAGAAACTTATCACTGCTGGTGAAAAGCAAAGCCTGTCTCCAAAGCATCCCAAACCATCCACTGTGAAAGACTGCCCTACTCTGTGCAGACAGATGGAGAAAAGCCCAAGTCAGCAGGCTTCCCCTGGGGACAGGAAGTCGGAAGGGAAGAAAGGGACAGAGGCACTTTTTGTTCCAACCCCAGAGGGCTACAAGCTGGAGGCCAGCCCTTCTCCCCACCATGGTGAGAGCCGACTCAAAGGCCCAGAGAAGCTAGCCATGGGCATGGGGAAGGGCTTCTCAGAGGCCAAGGGGAAAGGGCCTGGTCCTCAGAAGTCACTGGCTGAAACCGGCAAGACCAGCGGTATGAAACGGTCACCCTCTGCCACAGCACAGAGTTCTCTCCGCTCAGCTGGCCCCCCAGAGAAATCTCTGAGCTATTCAGCCAGCTTTCCCGAGGCCCAGCCTGCAACACGAGAGGTCACTGCAGCCACCAGTAGCCCCTCATCGGCCAAGGTTATCATGGGTACCTCAGAATCCTCAGCTCCCAGCAACAGGGACCACAGGAAATCCCAGTCTGGGGGAGATGGCCGAAACCAAATGACAAAGAGTGACTCTCTGCCCTCCTTCCGTCTCTCCAACTCCACCCTGGATTCACACCTCCCAGACCCACAGATGCCCAGCACAGCCGGCCACCGAGACAGGGCACTGTCGGTAACTGCTACCACAGGGGAACCCAGAGGGAGAGAGCTTACCCAACCTCCCCCAGCCAGGAAACAGAATGTGGGCAGGGAGGTGACCAGAGCACCCCCAACCCAAAGCACGGACCGCTCCCTCGCTCTTTCCTCGGAGAAGGACTACGTGGTGCGGCAGAGGAGGGGCAAGGAGAGCTTGCGTAGCAGTCCTCACAAAAAGGCCTCCTAACACGGGGCCCTTGGTGACAGGGCTGTGAGACCCCGCCAGAGCATCCGTGTAACTGGGTCGTTGCCACCTTACAAACCAGCATTGTATGGGGATGTCCTCCAAGCAGAGCTCCGGGGCTCACAGAGGAGGAGAGACAGAAAAAGGGAACTTTCTTCCAGATGCCTTCCCAGTCGTAACCGGTAAAACTGTTGCCAGATAGTGTTTGTACAAAACCTGCCTCTCCAGCCATGTGCTGGTGCGGAAGTCTCTCTGTACATACCTAGCAATGTGTTTGGTTTGGGATGTAGAGTGTGTACCTCGCTGCTGACTGCCTTGCTGACCGAAGCTTTTCTGAATGAAGATATGTCTTTTAACCACTTAACCATCGTGTGGTAATGAAGCAAAGTGGTCAGGGCTAGGTGCGTGTGAAAATAGAATCCTACCCATGATCGCGTATGTACACATCCACCTATGTGTTTTGGTCTGTGGTTTGAGAATAGTTCAAGGCTCCATTTGTATAAGTAGAGTTAAAGATGAGAGAAAGCCCTAAATACAGTAGATGGTGAGTTTTTTGTGTGTATTATTTAACCAGGATCTCTGATCATACTGAATCTGGCTACCTGTATTTTCTGAGCTGCTGCTTTCAGAACCCTCTCTTAGGAGTGAGTGGCCAGGATAGGAAGAGCCACTTGTAGGGGACATTTTGACCTTCAGGTCCAAGTGGCCCAAAAAGGCAATTGTCTTTGTCTCTGGGTCCTGTGTCTGGTCTTCACCTGAGGGTACACAGAGACTAGAAACACATTGTGAGTCAGCTTTCTTCCTTCTCCCGTCCCTTTCTGAGCTCCTACCCTCAGGCCTTCATGCTGTGAGTCCAAGAAGCACATGGTTATGGTGGGTGCTGCGCCAGCCCTGCCCATGAGGAAACAGGAAAATCACTGGCCGCACACCAGTCCGCTAGTACTTGGGTGGAGTGATACGCATTAGGAAACAGAAAATCACTGGCTGCACACGAACCTGCTAGTTCATAGGTGGGGTGATATGCATTAGGCATTGGAAGAGGTTTTAAATTTGCTTTTGTTGAGGAAAAGGGGGTGGGGTGGATTTTGGCATCATAGCATATATATTAAAGAATAATCAGGACATCAGATACATTTTAATACATAGCTGGGGCCTTATGTTGTAGATGAAGCTTGCTGTTTTTAGCAAGTTCCTGGGTTTCACATTCATTTCTGACGCATCGAGTAGCTCCATACATTTCATAACACGATCTCTTTATTTGTATGCAAAAAATTACTGTATTAATAAAGAGCAGCATTTTGTAACAAAGAGACTGGAGCTATTTGGTGCTTGAATGTGACCATCCTTTTTACTTTTGCTAAGCCTTATTTAAATTTTGTATACCATGAAATGTGTAGAGTCTGTCAGATCATTTTAGTGCTGAGGGTTTTTCTGATTTGTTTCTGTTGTCGCAGTTTTTTGATGGCTTGTTTTGGACTATAAGATGGCACTCGCTGAAGTACATACTAAGGCACAATGCAGATACGTTTTTATAAGATGCTTGGGATACATAGCAAGACTTTTGTTCTATAAGAGAAAAAAATTACAAATATTGAATCTAGCACCAGATCCCGTTGGGGTGTCTTGGTATCTTTCCACCGTAAGCTCGTTTATGTGAGCACACTCTGTGGGTTGTAACTAACCTTGTAAGGTTGTAAGCACTCTAGACACAAAGGCATGGCATCACTGACTGCTTGGTTGCCCATTGTTGCAAAGCTGGTTGGCAAAGAAAAAGGAAAGGAAAAAGGAGTGTCCTCTTCACCCCGTCTCCCCACCCCCACACAGCACATCACACACCCCCCATCACTACATTGTGAAACTGTAGAACAAACATATTTTTTACAAGAACTCAAATGGGTCTCAAAAGTGGTCTCAACACTTATAATGCATATCTGGTTGGCAGATCTAATCGCGCAATCCTTCTCTACTCAGACATCAGGACAGGTCTGTCCAGGAGGTAGTTCACGGTTTACAGCCCTTTCCTTTCTAACTGTCCAGTTTTCTTTAAGCACAATTAGCGGCTTGTTTACAAAGGATATTTTTATGTATATTTTGTATAGTGTATTATCATTTTGCCAAATATGTTTTTGCATTTTGGATGAGTAAAGAGTACTTACTTAAGGTTGCTTACACGTGATCCCTGTTTGTTGTTGTGAATCTCCCCCGCCAGCTGGTAGAATGTCTCCTGTGTTCTCTTTGGTCAGTCTCCGTGTGGTTGTGAGATGTACCCCTCGGTAGGACTCCCAGCTGTAGATTTACCAGCTTCGGTTTGTTAGGATCTGTGCAATAAAGTGTTGGCAGTCTTATTTTCTCCAAGAAATCCCCCCATGAATGTCATAATTGTTGTATATTGAACAAATATTTATACTTATGCAGTTGCATAACATTGAATAAAAATTTAGCATGAAAGATGACTGATACGTTCTATGTTTTTTCACCTATATACATATACATGCCAAATACTGCAGGTGATCGATCACTCAGATTCCTTATGAATGCTTTTGGTGAGTTGATTGGTTTGCCTGTTTTCTTTTTGCCCTACACAATTAGTCTGGTCTTGAAGGGAAATCCTCCAGCTTATTCCCATTTTGCTTTGCCCCCAACCAGCATACACACCCATGCTCACCACGTTGCCAGGAAAGAGGTCTCGTCTCCATGACCCCTCATGTACTACGATCTCACTCTAACCATCACCACCAATTTCAGAAACCCCCTTTCCCAGCTCCCTTCCGTACTGGCATAAAGAAGAATCTAAACTTGATAGTGTTCAGTCTTCTGTCACACTCACTACCATGGTGTAACTTCCACATACTGTCAACTCTGGTTTGAGGGGTGCCAGTGCCACTTGACTATGTGCAAAATCTACTTCCCAACATCGTTTATATGGACCATTGGCCCAGCAATGACCAGCATTCCCCAACACGACTTCCTTTTAGTTCAAAACAGACTATTTTTCATGCTCATTTCCCTAGTCACTACATGACATGGATACCCATATGTCAACACACATGAACAAAAAAAGAATCAAACACATGCATTCCCATTCTCTTCAATGTTCCTTTCTTCCCTCAAACCATGCTGTGTTCTCCATCTTTTTCTGATCACATCCCAAGCTTCTACCTAAATGATTTTTCTCTTTGGTAAAATGAACCAAAAGAACAGCAGCAGCAGCAGCAACAACAACAACAACAAAAACCCACTTGTCCAATCAGTTTCACATTTGTTATTTGATGCTGGCCCTACCCGTTTTCTGCTCTGAGCAGCTTCGATTTATACTGTCATAGTCTCTCCCTAAGTGGCTCTATAAGCTCCTTAAGTTTTCCTGGATCTTAGCCTTTTGTCGTAGTTTGGGTTTCTATTGCTGTGAAGAGACACCAATGACTACGGCAACTCTTATAAAGGAAAACATTTAGTTGGGGCTGGCTTACTGTTCAGAGGTTGAGTCCATTATCATTGTGGTGAGACATGGAGTCATGCAGACAGACATGGTGCTGGAGAAGGAGCTGAGAGCTCTACATCTTAACCTGCAGGCAGCAGGAGGAGACTATATCATACTAGGCCTAGCTTGAGCATGTAAGACCTCAAAGTTTGCTTCCACAGTGACACATATCCTCCAGCAAGGCCACACTTCCTCCAATAAAGAGCCATGCCTCCTAATAGTGCCACTCCCTATGGGCCAAGCATTCAAACACATGAGTCTGTGGGGGCCATAGCTATTCAAACCACCACATTCTACTGTTTTTCACAATGTCCCTAGAGAGATAAACATACTATGTTACAGCCTTTACATATTTAAAAACCTTTGTAGTCAGAGTCCAGCTCCTTAAACATTCTCTTAGTGCATCTTTTAGGAACTTGTATGTTCTAGTAAAAGGAGCGGTGGGCTGCATTTCCGCCTGGCTAGCTTTACCCGAAATAATTACATGGAAACTGTATTCATTTAAACACTGCCTGGCCAATTAGTTATAACCTCGTATTGGCTAGCTCTTACATACTGATTCAACCCATTTTTATTAATGCGTGTTGCCACTTGACTGTGGCTTACCGGGACGAGTCTAACCGGGGTCCATCTCAGGGAGGAGAGCTATGGCATCTGACTGCCTCTGCTTTCTTTCTCCCACAATTCTGTTCTGCCTACTTCACCCACCTAAGGGCTGGCCTATCAAAAAGGCCAAGGCAGTTTCTTTATTAACCAATGAAAGTAACACATAGACAGTTAACCCTCCTCCATCATTTCCCCTTTTTCTGTTTAAACAAAAAAGAAAGTCTTTAACTTTAACATAGTAAAATTACATACAACAAAACAGTTATCAAGCAAGAATTACAGTTACAATATTTATACCTACTTTATCTTTTATCATAACTAAGGAAAACTATAACTAACCATTCTTCAACTCCATCAAAGACTCCAGAAGGATATAATATTACCTAAGCAAATAAGAAATAAGCAACTTCCAACCTCTAGAAATGATAGAGACAACTCGCTGCCTGTACAGTCACCCAAAGTTCTTTTGTACCGTTGGGGCACCCATCTTCGGCCTTCAGGCCCATAGTATCCAGCAAACATTTCCATGAAGCAGGAAATTTCAAAGACAGTTCAGTCACTTTCTGCTGTGTCCTGTGGAATGTCTCGCAGACTCTTTCATGAATCAGGAACCCCGAAAGACCATCTCACATTTAGGTAAGTTCAGCAATCCTCTCTCTGTGGGTTCTCTGTGTCCAGTTTATGCAACAGTCCAGGCAAGAGCAGTTTCTTGCCCAAATGGTTATAAAACTCCGTAAGGAGCCTCTTTGATGCCCATCTTCCTCTTGAATTAGCTGGTGCTGCCAGAAGCAGATGTGTCTCATTGTCATGAAAAGTCCTAAGTTATTAAAACATTTAAAATGCCATATTCTGTAGTCTTTGAAAGATATGAAGAATGCGTATCTAACTGAAATATATCTCTATATGTCTAGAAAATCTAACTAACATGACTACAAGCTTGACTATTATCGATGATTATCCATTAACAACCTATATTTCCTAATTATACATTCCATTTCTAAATGAACTATACAATCACAATACCTTAATCAAGATCAGAAATACATATACATATAACAAAATTGACCTTAAATTCCATACCAATGCAAATTATTCATATCTATATCATATCCCCCTTTAAATGTAAAAGAACATTTATAAACAATATTTGGGAATATGGGCGTAGTTATTTCTCTCCAAACTGCTTCTTGCTGAATGGGGGCACTGTTATTCAGGTCTTTCATGGTATAACCTGTGTGCTAGATTCATCTCAGTCGGCAGTTGAGTGAAGTAATTTTTCTGAAGGTGTTCACAGCAACCTTTCAGGAGGACGTGATCTATCATACCATATTGGGATAGAAGCAATCCACAGGGTCTCATCCTCTGTGAAAACAAAAGAAGACCCTCCTTTCCAAAGCATCATATTCTTAGACCCAAATTCTGAAGTCATTATACTCTTATGATATCCATTCTGGTTTAGATTGGCAGCTCATATATTGAAATGTCTCTCTGTACTTAGCTCCTTCACAATCAAAAATTTTAAAGAAAACACAATGTACATAATCCAGACTCTCTGTGAATTTTCCATTTTTACATAGCTTATTTTCCTTTATTTCTTTTAATCTATAACTATCTGTAATCTGTCTCTTTAAAGACTTTATCCTTTTTTTTAAGGTATTAACTTTATTCTCTATATTCTTTTTCTTCTCTCTTCCAAGCCTACATACAGTCATCCAACACTATGACCCATTTAGAGGTCTTTTATGTCTGAATTTGTCCTATTGTGAATCTGTAATTTTTTTTTACTATCCAGGAGCACTTCTTAAAATGCTAAGCACTTCTTAAAAACTTAAGTTGCACCATGTAGAGGTAATAAGGTACCGTGTGTGTCCTGCCCAGTCGAAACCTTGAAACCTTAATTGCGCTGTTATTATGGTAATTACGATAGTTCCTGACTGAGTTCAGCACAGTTCAGCATAGCAGAGCAGAGGGTGAGCTGCTCCTGCCTCAGCCATTTGGTGCCCCTGAGCCGCACACAGTTCCAGGCACACAGCAAGTCCACATTGGAGCTGCACTCAGCAGTTTAATTCTGAGACTGAGTGTGTAGCACAAAAACTCTTTTCATCCAAGTTACAGCCAAATCTGACATGCAGAGCACTGCACAGCCTGGAAACATCTCTCAGTATGGAGGCAGATCTGCCATGCTCTCCCGCCTGCCTAAGCCTGATTCCGCTGTCTGCCCAGGTGAAGGCAGGGAGCGCTGAGCCATTGGCATGGTCTCAGAGTGCTTTCTTCCCTACCTCAAGTGGGCACACAAACATCCACGCTCCATAGCCGGAGTTTGCACCAGCAGCAGGGCCCAGGAAGCCGTGTTTTAAAATGGCGCAGCTTTTTTTCTGCCGCTAATGCTGAAACAGGAAATCTCTCTACAGCACGTCCTAGCAAATAGCAAAATCTGTGTTAAACTCTCCTTCCCTTATTTTTAAGCCCTCTCAGGTTTTCCGTGGAGTTCATTACCACGTTGGACGCCACTCTAAAAATAGGAGCAGCGGGCTGTGTTCCCGTCTAGATCCTGGCTAGCTTACCCCCAAAATAATTACACAGAAACTATATTCATTTAAACACTGCCTGGCCCATTATCTAGCATCTTATTGGCTAACTCTCACATCTTGCTTTAACCCATATTTAGTAATCTGTGTAGCACCACGAGGTGGTGGCTTACCGGGAAATATTCAGCATGTCTGACCTGGGGGCTAGCTGCATGGCGTCTGACTGCCTCTGCTTTCTTTCTCCCACAATTCTGTTCTGTCTACTCCACCCACCTAAGGGCTGGCCTATCAAAAAGGCCAAGGCAGTTTCTTTATTAACCAATGAAAGTAACACATAGACAGTTAACCCTCCTCCATCATGTTTTAAGTAAGTTCCTGGTGCTTGGTACTTTATAAAAAGTTCTGGAGCCAAAAACCCAAAGTTGGCTAGTCCCATTTGCTCAGATTATTGCCAGGGCTTCATGGCAGAGGCTCTCATGGTGATTGGAGCAATTGCAGAGAGATCATGTAGCAAGATGGGAAACCAGAGACTTAGGAGACCAGGCTTCTTTTTCTGTATAAAAAGCGACCTTTGTGAGAACAAACCAAAGCCCAAGAGAATATTAATCCCTTCCAGGAGTGGTATTCCCAGTGTGCTGCCTTACTGGGGACTGAGCTTCCATCATTTAATTACTTCCAAAGATAACAGCGTACATAACCCCAACTAGTAAATATCTATTGCTTGGGCACCCAGAAAAGCCTTCCTGGCAGCCTATGGGATTCACAGCATTATCTTGCTGTTTTCTGTTTCTCCATGTTTATCTTTGTGAGATCCAAGCTTCCTGTTCCTCTGTCTTGCTTT